CCAATTCTCGCAAAGATTGGCGTATACAATAATAATTGCTCTGCCTAAGCCTCGTCATGTGATAATTTATAGTAGGTTTTGAGGTTCCTAGTCGATTGGAACGTTTTGGTGTAAGATTAGCTTAGCTTTAAGATTGTGTGGGTTACGGGCGTCTTTTGGCTCAAAAGTATTACTTATGTGTAGAATTCAAGGAACGGAAGCAAATAAAATACTGAAAAGTGCAGAACATCGTCTATTCAAAAACGGTTATCCTATCTTGCGCCCGGACTACGACGTGAAAATCATTACATAAGCAAGGCAGTTTATCAGAGCCTCGTTCTGATCACGTAGTATGAGAATCTGGGATCCTCAGGATAGCTATTAGGTTTGTTTACAGTGGTTGCCCTGCTAAGGACATATCTGCTCATATCGTGGTTTATTTCATTTTTATCAAACACATTTATGGACGGCTCCATAACTAGTTGAATTTTGCATGATGGAGGACTCTTGCTCATCTCCAGATCCCTTGAACGATACAATTCAATCACCCACAAAATCCCAACGCTCGGCGCGATCTCAATCGAATCACCCTACTAGCAATAGTCCGAAGAAAAAGACATTTCATTTAGATGTGGGAAACCACATTTCACCCCAAAAAATATTAGTCACAGTTGAAGCTGGAGATTCTGATCTTGAAAATGTGTACTCCAGGATGAACGAGGTCTCCCCATCGCCACATCGACCAAACATCTGGCACAAGGCCGTATCTAAAACAATACCGTTGAATGATGTATCCGATAATGATGCAAAACCAGAACCTAATACAACACCAAGAAAGACTAAAGCGCGATCTAAAAAAACTGGTTCAGCCAGATCGGGGAAGAAGCGTGTTGGAACACCTTACAAAAGATACAAAAGCTACTTAGCTGAGGATCATCTAAACGATGAATTATTCGAAAGAGAAATATCGCCGCTTGAGTTCGGCCAGGATATCTCAAAAACGGGGCAAAATATTTCACAATCTAACGCTGCACGATCAAAGAATGGAAAAAGAAACACACCCTCCACAAAGCGCTTGAAGAAGCAAGCTGATCCGGTAGATAACCTTGCCAAATATCTTGATACACCAGAAAATGATGATATACCAAACAAATCTGCATTGAAAAGCCGGAAAAGCTTTCTTCCTGCCTCCCCCATGCAACAAGATTCAAATTTAGAAAGAGCTCTGGGCTCCAATCCTCCAAAAAAGACGAACCTACTCTCCCTATCACCTCTGAAATTTAAACCTCAAATATTCCGAAAAGATGAAAGTAATAACCCAGAAACTTATATAGGAGGAAAAGCAGAAAAAAAGACTAAGATGGGATATGGAGATTCGGCAAACCCAAACTCGAAAGCTCAAATAAATTTTTACCCTTCACCATCCTCCTCTGAAAATCACGTAGGGTTTAAACCTCAAGAAATGTTTCCACAGACTCAACAGAAGCAACCAAACCGACAAGACTTACAGAATTACAATTCAGAAGCTAAAAAAAATCTTCAGGAGGAGCATGATTTGGACAGCGAAGAAGAAGCTGTAAACACTGTTCGTGATACGGATACAATTGTTGAAAGCGAGGGCTTTAGTATGATATCCTTCGACTCGGTACTTTCTTTCCAAGGTCAACCTAGCAGCTCCAAGCGAAGAAGAGACATGAACTCAATTGTGCAAACCACCAGTGCGAGAAAAATAGCGAGGCATAGGTATGATCAGGAAGATATCACCTCAGATACAAGAAAGAAATCACAGAAAGAATATTCTCCAAATGATGAAGCTTATGATAATAGAAGCTTCCGAAAAAAAAACAACTTGGAGAATGGATCTAGTTCAGATAGATTGCTCAGATATCACAACCAAGCACCATTGATTAATTATCTACAGGGATCAAAGTCACCAGTGGAAAATAGCCAGCATACCAACAACCTGAATTCAAGTAAAGCTTATGAGCTGTCCCATGGAAACATGTTTAATGAGGAATCAGGAAAAAAACCCACTGTTTCAGCCTCCAACCCAAATGTTCTGTATGAAGATTCATTCTCCGCCGTGCCATCTTGTATTCTAAATGCATCGAAACCTTCAGCACCTGAACTTGCTGAAAAGCAACAATTGTCAAAAACTCCCGGAGATAAAACAAATTTTCCTATAAACCAAGATGCCTCTAACAGTGAAATGAAATTATCATTATATGAGCGGCTCAGTGCCTCTGACTCTCAACTTCAGGACTCACCTGGTCACGGCCAGACAGATTTGAGCCAGCATCATGAATTGACCTACGCTATGGCACAGAAATCGAACGCCCTACCTTTGGATTCTGATGACTACGATTTTAGCTCAATACAAAATACAGATATTGACCATAACCAAAGTCCTATCCACGTTACATCAGAAAATTACTCATCTCCATCCCTACCAATGTGCACAAATCAAACTGGAAACCAATTACTCCTTGTTCCACCACTCGTTGGGCATAGTCAGGCTACCACAGCAACAAAATCTTTAGAAACTGGATCCAAGCGCACTTACTTCTCTTCATCTCCGATAAACGAATCAAACAGGCTAGGAAGCCCATTCACGACTCCGCTTCAGGAGCAAGAGCTGTTCGAGATAAGTGAAGAAAATTTATCTGCAGTTCAGGACCACAGAACCGGAATCTATCCTCGGGTCGATCTCAACAGTCAACTCTCTGGACGGCTAAATAGGTCAACCGATTCCGCTTCTCTAATTGCACACAAAAGCGAGACCCCTGCGCTGACCAGAACTATTTCAAAAGATAAGAAGTCACAAGAACAAGAGTCCATTAAAGAGCTTACCAGAATTATACCTCGAAATAAAGTTGCATCTAATGAGGTCTACAGTAGTGACAAAAAAAGTAGCTATTTGGGCCGGAAACGTTACAATGAGGTTCGAAATAGCTATGAATCAAACCGTCCTGATAGTGAGATAATGATCCCTCAAGTAATCAAAGATGATACAATAATGGAAGCAAACAATATTGTAACTGACGAAAACGATGAGGACTTCGATCTTTTGCTTGAGACGCTCAATTCTTCAACACCATCTATGGAAGAAAATCGGAAACATCAGATACTCCTAATAAGACGACCCGAAAAAATGAAAGTCTCTATTCAGGATTCGGAAAATCATAGTGATTCAAATGACAAAGATCCAACGGAGCTCGAGACACCTAATTCCAATAAATTAACTACTAAGTTTCACAATTCAACAGATAAATCACTAAGACAATTTCGTACCTCCATAATCCCAAGAGAAAATATTTCATGCCTTGATACCTCACCAAGCTCAAAATTATATTCCTTCGAGAAAGAGATACCCAGATTTGATCTCTCTCGGTCAATGAAAGAGTCCTTCATAGCACAAGATCCGAAATCAACAGAAATATCATCTAGGTCATCTAAATCCCCCTCAAGACAAGCAATATCTCCTTGTGTCACAAAAGGTGCAGCTTCACAGGCATCAAGTGATAAAAGTATCAAATACTTTGAACCTATACCCCAAAAGCAAAGCTTTAAGCCCACAACAAAAACAAGCTTAAAGTTGCTGAAAAAACCAGCGTCAAAAACTTGTGAAATTGCTGCAGGATCTTCAAAGGCATTACCCATAAACTCAAATTCGAATGCTGACTTATCACCATCAACTTGCTCACCACCCCTGCTTAAATATTCCCAGCATAAAACCGAAAACTCAAGACTATTTTATCCGCCAAAACTACAAAATCTTCACAGTTTGCATAAGGAGGGACTTTCTTCCTCATCGCAGCTCGCCGAAAAGGAGATCTGTATAACGCACGAAAAAATTGGATCTCCAAGGAAACATAGATCCGGTGATTTAACAGAGAATAATGATGAAGTGCAAGTAACTTGCGTAGGGTCGCCAAGATCTCCAATAAAGTCGTGTATCCGTTCCCCTCGAAAAATTTCTCCAGGTCATTGTTCCAAGACAAAGATTTGTACGCCTGTTAAGGTTGTCAAATTTATATCATCATCACCAATACGCTCTTCTCCACTTTATGATCGTTTATCAGCAGTTAACTGGACTAAGAATCATTGGCTAGTTTTAGAAAAAATTGTGAAGTGCTGGAAGCCAGAAGCTAAAAATAGATCATTTCGAACAAAAAACAGTAGTTCCTGTCCGGACAGCTATCGAAATAGTACAAGAGTTATCAGTGATTTGCTAGGGAGGTATATATTTAGTGCCCAATGCGAGCGAATGAAGCTGGAGCAATGGCACCTTGAAGCTGTCGATGAATTCAGAACTCAAGTGCCCGGATGGGACGAGAAGCAGGTTGCCATGCGAGTCTACGCTCTCTTGGCTGGCGAAAAGGCTCGAGCCTGCATGAATTGACCCGAATAAGCTCCAAATTGCTTGTTGTGCTCCGCCTCATCAAAAAGCCCTTTAGCGTGACGAATGACACATCTAGGCTTCTAGAAGCTGCCGGGGTACCCCCATGAAGTCATCCTTCAGAGCATCATCCTATAGTATGCCTAATTACATCGCAAGACGACAAAAATATTGTCCCTACGACGGGGACGAACAAAATATCAACCCGGCAGAATCACCATCTTATCGATCCAAATGACATGACTTTGTTGCAAGCTAATATTACGTGTACAATTACATTTGGGAATAGTCACCATATACAACTACAAATATCCTGTGAAGATGGATATTAGGTGACAGGTTTCAACAATGCCGATCGATTTAATCTTCATCCAACTTTGCTGGGAACCTTTGCTGCGATAAAATTTGAGTCTAAGTTGCTCAAGGCACTAATTCTATCCGAAGAAGATCGTTCTAGGGATAAGAATATACTTAGTCAAGAGGGATTCATTATCACTTCCGACGGTGGAGGTGCATCCTTCTTGCCCAGCTCTCATCGGTTCTCCCGTAACTTTATCCGTAGGTAAAATCTCGTCCTCACGTCTTTATAGTACAGTGTGTGCTACTTTATGAGTTCTAATTTCTATTCTAGCTGGGATGCCTGATTAGTGTATAGGACGTCTACCACGCTGCTCAGCTTCTCTATTGTTGCCAATGCAGAATCATAGCCTTCGTCCCTTTCAGTTTCATCAAATATAATTAGGCATCCAGCTCCCTGATCTAGTACGCCTATAATTACTTTGTCGAGGATCATTTGACTCAGTTTTCGCTCGACCTGTAAAGTATCCAAGCCTACCATTTTAGCGATATGGGCGATTTCAACACGTGAAAACGGCTCGATAACCTTGGTTAAGTTCTGTTCCAACATTGCATCGTAGAGGCGACGAAGATGGTTGCGAATAAAGGAATCAGATCCAAGTTCATGGCGGTAGTCGCCAAGTGCTTTTTCATATTCTTCGAGAGATCGATTTGAATGTGCCCTCGCGACGGCTTTCATAGCCTCAAGATTTTTTCCAGCGTACTTGACTGCTTGCTTGGATGCCATAAGCTGATTTACATCTTCGGATAGATTAAGCATTATTTTACAGAGGAGCATGTATTGAAGCGCTGCAGTTGCTTTTTCTGGTTCATCTTGGGAATGGTATCCATCCATAGCTTCAATGAAATATGAAAAAGCTGTACTGAAATCCTTATCTTCGGCGTGTAACTTTCCTGATTGTAGATCAAGCCCAGCTTGGAGCAAAGGCGGGGTATAGATAGAAGCTGCCGACGTACGAGCTGAAGTTAGGGCCGCGCGTCCCTTTGATGTATTACCTAAAACATGGTACACACGAGATTCAAGTAGCTGAACCTCCACTAGTACCAACTTGTCATCCAGTCGCTTGAGTTCTTTGAGTAAAGAGTTAATCAAAATTAAAGCCTCGTAATAGGCTGCTTTAATCATGTGGAGTTTTACCAAACGAACTTCGAGGTTCTGACGAAGAAATCCGCGACGTTCAGAAGTAGCCCATTGAATACATGATTTCGTGACAGTGACTTGGATGTCAGTACTGTTGGGAATTCCGTGAAATAGATCGAGAAGCTGTCGAACTAAGTGATCATTAAAATATAGAAAGAAATAACCAGGGTATATCCATACCAAGCTTTGCTGTCTTTGCTTTGGCGAATGAAGACAGCACAGCCCGACTCGTGCTGATCAAATCTGCCAGCTGGTTTGGTGAGCTGTAAACAGTCAGACTTAGTCCAATTATTATGCTTCCATTGCCTACTTCTGATCCTTGTATAGCTGACCGAGACTGATTAGAGCAGTCTCATACTCCCGCACCGCAGCGTCAGAAGTCACTGACGGTGGCTGTGAGATTATCTGCATGAACTGGGCTTCGGCATTTTTCGGGTCTGACTTGATTACTTTCCTAGCATCTAAAATTCGTATTGAGTCCTCGGGAAGCATTTTTGTTTAATTGAGAAATATCTAGAAGTTGAATGGATTGAAATCAACTTGCTATCTCACTAGGAGCAGGCTGATAACTCCGGTAAGCCGCGCTAGCAGACATCCTTGTCAGAAATTGGTATTTTCATGGGTAGCCCACTCCACATTCCAAATAATACCATCTGCAAAGATTAGATGGCGATGCAAATTTAGTAAGATCATGGTATGTGAAGACCTAGTTATTCCTCGAAATTTTACTAATATTTCTAGAAAGTCAAAGTGCTCACTCGCTCGTCACTGGCGCAAGCTGGCTCTGATGTTCAGAAACAACCCCGCAACTTGGACTCTGCCTTGCATCCCTTTGAAAGGGCTAGAGAATATACTCGTGCACTAAATGCAACAAAATTGGAACGTATGTTTGCTGCGCCATTTATCGCACAGTTAGGAAAAGGTCATGTTGATGGAGTTTACTCAATGGCTAAGGATCCAAACTCTTTACAGAGGTTTGCTAGTGGAAGTGGTGATGGTGTTGTCAAAGTGTGGGATCTCACAAGTCGAGATGAAATTTGGAGTACCACTGCCCATGAAAACATTGTCAAAAGTCTTTGCTGGACTAGAGATCAAAAGCTTTTGACATGCGCGAGCGACAGATCTATCAAACTTTTTGATCCATATGACTCCTCTTCAGGAGCATCACCTGCTGCAACTTGGCTAGGGTCAAACGCTTACACTAGCCTATCGCACCATCGAACAGCGAATTCATTTGCAGCCGCCTCCGGTAATATTACTATATACGATGTCGAAAGACACACTGCACCACCGGAAGTTCTGAAATGGCCAAATTCAACGGACACAATTACTGCAGTTTCTTTTAACCAAATTGAGACGTCTATACTTGCATCAGTTGCTACGGATAGATCAATTGTTCTATACGATTTGCGTACCTCCATGCCATTGGCTAGGACTGTACTAAACTTTGCCTCCAACTCTATCTCTTGGAATCCAATGGAAGCATTCAATTTCGCAGTTGCAAATGAAGACCACAATATTTATATATTTGATATGCGAAAAATGGACAAGGCCCTCAACGTTCTCAAAGATCATGTTGCTGCAGTCATGGATGTCGAATTTAGTCCTACTGGAGAAGAACTTGTCTCTGCCTCTTATGACCGAACAGTCCGACTATGGAGTCGTAATAAGGGCCATTCGCGTGATATATATCACACGAAACGCATGCAGCGGGTCTTTTCATGCAAGTGGACACCTGACTCTAATTTTATTCTCTCTGGGTCTGATGACGGAAACATACGTCTATGGCGCGCCAACGCATCAAAAAGAGAAGGAATCAAAAGTGCTAAGCAGAGACAATCCCTGGAGTACAATGAGGCTCTAAGTCAAAGATATGCACATATGCCAGAAATAAAAAGGATTAAAAGACATCGCCATATTCCTAAAGTTGTGAAGAAGGCGGGAGAAATTAAAAATGAGGAATTGAAAGCTATAAAGAAGAGGCAAGAGAATGAGCGAAAGCACACGATAAAACAACATCAGAAGCGGAAAAGTGAGAGACAAAAAATGGTGTTGGCCTTAGAAAAATAGAGGCTTTGACTAGAGCGGAATCGAAAAATACTAAACCGGCGTCTCGGCGTGTCATACATACTCACATTTTTATTTTCGTGCCAATTTCACGCATGCAAAATTGGCATAACTCTAACCCTTTGACTTCGCTGTATAAAATTAAGAACAGTATAACATGTTGTTAGAGATTTTAAATACTTAGACACTTATGTCCATTGCTCTAGCGATGATGTAAATATTTGAATATAACCAAACTACATATCTGAAGTAAATCCAAGGTTAGGTTGCATTTATCGGAAATTTAAAATCTGGCCCTGTTACAAATACAATATATCAGGGTTCAGAGAAGCTAGAAATGTATTGCCCACATGTAAATTGCACCATTGATAAACGGATCAGGAATCCAAGCTTATACCTCTTCGTTCTGTAATATTTCAGTCGCAGTTTTTGAGTATTCATGCGAGATAAATCTTTACAAAAAGATCTTATTTCTGCATTTAAGCTTCAAGGAATATTTCAACGTTTTTCAAAATATATTTGCTGAAATAAATCTCAAATGCTGCTAAATATCACGCAATAAGCGGTTGGCTTCTTTGTTACACATAGAAGCTTATTTCGTCTTTCAGTGCGATAAGTTACCGATGTTGCGTACCGAAACTAAATCGTCAATATTCGGAATAATTAGTTCGTAACTGAAGAGTATTTAATTATCAACGAATTCACAAAAAAGTTTTAAAGTTTAAAGGCTATTGTCTTAACTTGTTGACTGTTCTGTAATAAGGACCGAAAAGACAATGTTAAGTTGAATTCTAGACAGGTGACTCGCATTCATTCAAAATGTAGAATAAGAGATAAATAATCCGCGTCACAAGTCTGAAGATAAAGGAAACTATAGAAATCAGTCTTCACCCTTGCATCACTGTGACTCATCCAAGACCATCGTACTTCTGTATTCTTCTTTTTGAGTGTTGGCGTGATTTTATCTAAAAACTTTCAGAAAGCTCCATATACCGACTCCGCTAAGTAATGGAATCGTCAAGTTATCGTCCAATCCAAAAAGATTGATAAACTCGCTCGTGCTTGCCACAAAGCCAGTCCAAATACTTAAAATACAAAGAGCTGAGGCTCCACCCACTGAGCCCTTTATTTCGGATAGTCCAAACCATTCTCTAATTATTGATGGAAGTCGTATGGAGCCTGTGAACATAAAAGGAAAATCGCAATCATGGGGAAAGGGTCCTGATCGTGGTGCTAACCACCCCCAAAATAATACAGCCGTGGCGACACCCACTATAAAGGCTGCTGCTGATCCCGCAACACTTTTTCCCTTTCTGATCTTGATGGTGTATTTCCCATAAGCCCTTCCAATCGTACTAGCAGCTGTATCGCACCAGCTCAGAAGTAATATACTCATTAGACTGACATCTTTTGGAAATGTAACCAAAACGAACCACGCGCCTAACAAGTACCAAACAACACCATTCCAGCCTCTATGTTCACTTTCTCGCATCAACACACCTAATATACGAATATAAAATTGGTTAAAAGTCTCGTTATTATGACGTAGGTAATCAGTGGCCGAAATAAGGAATAGAGCACCTGTTAACCATGGCGTTATCGCCGTAGTTTGGATACCGGAAAGAAAAAAGTGGATGGAGAATACTCCTATTGAGACATGGAGAAGCTTGCGTGGAATTTCATGTGTATAAATAAAGTTTCTCCAACTCGAGTGTGTGGGAATTAATGCTGGATGACTGTGATCTTTGTAAAAATCTGGATTAGAGATCGAGGAACTAGTATTGAATAGGAATGAGAATGGGATAGAATTTTTTTCAGTGATGTTGGATACAGGATCTACATCGTCATTTTTTTCTTTGCTCTCGGGTGTTATTGTAGAATTCAGAGAAACAGGCGAGTATTTCCTGGATAAAGGAATATTCATCCTACATGAGCACGGTAGACCAGGAGTATTTGAGCGGGTTGGTAGTAGAACATCTCTCTCCTTATCGCTGAAGTCAAATTGCTGACTCGGAGAGCCGGTCTCTTGTTTGTTGGCTCGGAAAACTGACTCAGGGTGTCTATCAGATAGAAATTCAGTTTCGGATAGAAGCAGCGGGTCTGAATGGACCATATTCTCTTCTATGATGGGATACCTCAGTACAAATCTTGGAAGAGGAGGAACTCGTGCTGTTCCAGAGAGAAGAGGTTCGACACTAGAGTAGCAAAAGAGCCAAGCTCCAATCTTATGTTCCTGCCCGCATCGCCGAAAAGTGCCCCTTTTGAATGACGAGCTCGATGAAATTAAATTACACGTTGTCGGAGGCTCACCAGCCGTTGGAAGCGCCGAGTCGGAAAGAAGCTCATAATTGAGGATGCACCGCACAAGGATTCCCACAGCCTCAAGGTGACAGTGAAATTTTGCTGCAAATGATGGCAATAATGATTCAGAGCTTGACATTGATATTCGAGATCTGAGGAGGCGATAATGGAAAAGTTTGAAGTAAACAAGCTAGTTACAAATAAGTGAATAGAAGGCAAGCGATTTGGGTGATGCAGTAGGATATCCATAAGCTAAGGCGCCAAACTATGACCTCTATCCATACTTTTACCAATTCATATAATCACGAAAACAATACTAGGCGGATGGAAAGCTAAGTGTCTTAAAGTGTGTTGCAAAGCTCGTCAGTTTATTCCCTGACTAGACATGTCGTTGACCCAATTTGACGGATTAGGTAATATATGCAAGGTCAGAAGATGAAAAAAAATATTATGTGTTATGCGGAACAGATAATTACACGCGCAACTCAAACTCATGGTATAATGTCGCCAGATTCCAACAAGAGAAAAGATCCCCGATCATGGGATTCAGTAACTCCGCCACTTTCAGGATGGATTGTAGACGCTGTTAATTCTATGGGATTTTCAAGAATGACCCCTGTCCAGGCTTCAACAATCCCTCTGTTCATAGGTCACAAAGATGTTGTTGTTGAGGTACAGAATTAATTACTCTTACAGAAATTAACTAATTGCGATGAACAGGCTGTTACTGGAAGCGGGAAAACTCTTGCTTTTTTGATACCAATTGTGCAGAAACTACTAAGTCTCGAACAACCCATCAAAAAACACCACATTGGTGCAATTATTATTTCACCAACCCGGGAGCTTGCAACACAGATATATTCTGTTCTATTAAAGCTTCTAGCCTTTCATGGTTCCTCAGCCGCTATACTGAATACCACTGAGTCTGATGAAAGACAAAGAGAAACTATTAGTCTTACAATACTTCCGCAACTCATACTCGGTGGAATGAACACTCCCGCAAAAGATTTAAGCCGATTTCTTAAAACTTCGCCAAATCTCATTATATCAACGCCAGGGCGCCTACTTGAACTTCTCTCTTCACCTTATGTTCATTGCCCGCAGTCCTCGTTCGAAATTCTCGTATTGGATGAAGCAGACCGATTGCTTGACCTAGGCTTCAAAGATGATCTACAAAAAATTTTAGGGCGACTCCCAAAGCAAAGACGGACAGGGCTGTTTAGTGCTAGCGTTTCTGAGGCTGTTTCTGGAATGATCTGTGTAGGTTTGAGAAATCCCGTCAAAATCTCTGTCAAGGTGAAAACCGATTCCGGACACGATAAACGAACGCCTGCCAGCCTAAAAATGAGTTACTTGCTCACACAACCGACTCACAAGTTTCCCGCACTATTTCAAATCCTTCAAAAATTAGAGCCTACCCCTCAAAAAACAATAGTATACCTGTCAACATGTGCAGCTGTGGACTATTTTCAGCAGATTCTTTCTAAATTATTACCAAAAACTTTCTCTCTAATTTCATTGCACGGAAAACATCTTCCCGCCGTTCGAACCCGAAACTTCGCCAAGTATCTGAAGACCATTACACCAACTATTCTCTTGACCACTGATGTTGCGGCTCGAGGTCTAGATATACCACAGGTTGATTTGGTTGTTCAGATCGATCCCCCATCAGATCCCAAAGCATTCCTCCATCGATGTGGTCGGGCTGGCCGAGCTGGGAGACGAGGAATGGCAGTTATCTTTTTAACACCTGGAAGAGAAGAGGATTATGTTCCGTTTCTTTCAATTCGCGAAACACCTATACATCTACTCGACAGGCCAGATATACAAATATCTGATGATGATGCTCTAATATTCATAGAAAGTTTACGGAAACAAGTTCTTTCGGATCGAGCTCTACACGATCTCGGTCAAAAAGCATTTGTCAGCTGGGTTAGATCATATAGCAAGCATCAAGCTAGCAGTATTTTTCGTGTAGAAGACCTTGAATGGAGTGAGCTAGGTCATTCTTGGGGTCTAGTTAAACTACCAAAAATGCCTGAACTCAAGCATTGGGAAGGCGATAAATCGTTGGGTGTTAAAATTGACATGAAAAAGTATTGTTATAAAGATAAAATACGAGAAAAGTCAAGGCAAGCATTAATAGAAGCAGCGGAACAGGCTGAACCATGGAAACCAAGCGAAGAGATAATCAACAAGCGTAGAGAACGAGAGTCATGGAGCCAGAAGAATGGTTCGAAGGAAAAACGAGAGGATAAGCGAGAACGAAAACGTCGTAAACGTGAGGCAGAACGGAAATCTGGCTTAACCGAAACAGAAAAGTTACAGGAAGCAGAAGTCGAAGAGTTATTGGAAAAAGTAAAACGAAAAGTAAAGCAAGATGTGGAAAATAAGCAAAGCGAAGAAACATTTGAGGGCTTCATTGAATGAATTGATAGCTTAATATTTATCGAAGGCATTCCTTTGAGGGCGGGAGAGTGACTTCTCTCCAGAATCGCATTTTGGTCTTGTACCTATGTTATTCTTCAAGGATAATCAAAGCCAACACTGGGAACCCGTTTAAAGCACAGAATATGTGCTGGTGGTTTTCTGTCAAATGTTGAGTGATAACTCATTGCTGACTAACACCAATTCAGGCGTCAACAGAACGACTCAAAGTTTTGGGTGCTTGATCAAGTTATTTTCTTGATCTCCCAAGCAAATTGGAGACGAAACCCAAAGAACCACGTCACTGGCAAAACACTATTCATGCTTATGTGAGAAAAAATGATAATCAGAGCAGGGGAGACAAGTTGGTCTCACTGATTAATTGGGATTACTATTTGATTTAAGTTTCGTGGTGTTGAATCATTAATTTCAAACCGTAATATATGGCTGATGTTAAGTTTATCAAACATGGATGGTAATGCTACACATATAGCCTTCCTCATACAACAACTCCTACCTCTACTGTGGTACAACTTCAAATTCTACCCCTCTATATTCAGATATCGAGCATCCGAATCAACTACAAGAACCTCAACATTTTCTGATTCATACGTAAAATATGAAAATAAACATGAAAGTGTAAAGTAGAAATAGACATGAATATTTTACATAGTCTGAGCTGATAAGTTCAATAATAAATCAAGTCAATCTATCAAACAATAGTAAGAATATTTACGATTGTTAGGACTGTAAAAGGGAGATTACAGTTTCTTTGGTAAACTTTTTTCGCAGACTTTTTAGGCAATTTAGAAGGGTAAAAAGCCTCAACTCAAGACAGCGAAATTAATCTTTTAGTTCAACTTCTTAATAATGTGGTTCTGTTTATGGTATTACTTGAGTCATAGACTTTCTAAAACATCAGTCTCGTCTCAAACCCAGACCACGCCTTGTACAGTGCTCTCCTACTCTATCATTGAAATATCGCTTTATCAGATGCTGGTTACGCTCCGGAAACTATTCGGATGGCTATTCCTCCATGATCAATGGTAGGTGATGAGAAAGGCTTAGATCCTATCATCTGATCTGACCGTTGTTAGCTTCATGATAATGGTGATAGGGGGATGTGTTGGGAGATAAAGACGATACAGACCGCAAAAGCGATTGGGAATCCTCATGGAAGCGAAGACTTTTTTATTACTCAATCTCGGCTCTGCAGGCCCTACTGTGAGAGCTTGAAGCTTGTAAGGAACACCGCTAACAGGTGTTGGATTTTCGCCCCTCTAAATCAAATAATTTCAATCTCAGTAGAGCTAGTCATAGTAATTATTGTCCGTGATTATATTCCTGTGTCAAGGCTTTTTGATTGAGAGCTTTGGCTAGAAAGCAATAATTATTAAAAAAATCATTTTACATAGTAATTTAATCTGAATTTAGTTAAGAATAAAAAAGCTGTATAACATATATCATCATTTTTACTGGGAGCTTTATTAGTGGTTTACTAAAAAGTGTAGGGACAGAAAATTAGTAGAGGAATATCTCGCTTGTCTGGAGACAACTATCAACTGCTCTCTTTTCCTAAATCTCATCTTGTATGATCCTGATGTGTAGTGAGGAATTTCGACATTGAAACGAAGTTCTGCCACCTGAATTGTGTTTTAAGGTATCCTCAGAAAACGGCTCGTCCCGGATAACTTTATCCAAAGTTACTTCGACCGTGAAGGCTTCTGGTACATTTGAGGCACCAAATGTTTAAAATCACAACGGAATTAATATTTCTCCCGAGTAACTATGATTAAATCGATGCTGGTTGCTACAAATCTCGGATTTTATCCCTATTATCCCTGCATTGTACCATGTTTTTTTTTATCATTTGTAGTGGATCCAACCTATACTAGCTATGACATACTTAACTGCCCATGAACGATGGAATAGAATTTAATTTAACTCCCTACTGGGTCTATGATCATGAAGGCCTTCTACAGCTATATGAAAAGCTTTAAATCTTAATGTGAATAATTTTTGTTGGTAATTTCAATGTTTGCTAATAGATATTGAGGGTCATACTCTGTGCCCCTGAACGACAAATATGAACAATTATAGTTCTCCTTCATAAAAGTGTTTTCCGTCCCTTTCTTCCTCGTATTTGACGCGTGGCATCTCCTTCTCTCGCCCTCCAGCTCGAAAGGTGAGCTGGGCATTTGGACTCTGGCTCTCGTGGGAGCAACCCTCCTTCCTCCCGCAATTCAGTGCTACTGCCGCGTTTATTTACGTGTTGCTCAAAAAACTCCTACCCTCAGACGCCCCTCCATTCTGTTTACACTGTCAATCCCATTCCATCCAAGCTCATCGAGTCGTTCTGTCCTGTCTTACTCCTCCCCTGTTCCGAGACTCTTTTACCAACTTCCGTTTCCCACAGAAACTTTAGCAATTCAGCTGTAGCCTTTCTATCTGCAAATGATAGAGCTATATTCCCATCGTCAACAAACTTTCGGAAAACGCCTTGGCATCAACAACTTCCGCCCAACATCAGTTATACCTGTAAAAAGTCGATATTCGGTTTCGCGTTACCATCGGATTTCTGTTAATATAAGCTTCAACATTTATATCCACTTACCCCTATATTTTGGGGGACTATTCTCAACACCTGTCAGTGGTTTCCCCTACGAATCTCCAGCTCTCATTGTAGGGTCTGCAGAGCCGAGATTGAGTAACAAAGTCCTCACTTCGACGAGGATTCCCAATCGCTTTTGCGGTCTGTATCGTCTTCATCTCTCAGCACAGTCCCATAGTACTATTAACATGAAGCTAAGAACGAACAGATCAGATGGTAGGGTCGGAGCCCTACTCATCACCAACCCTTGATCATGGAGGAAAAGCAATCCGATGAGTTTCTGGAGCATATCCAGCACCCGATACCGGGATGGTGGGTTGGATCAAGTCGACCTCGATTGTTACAAGGAAGAGAGATATAGACGAATATGCGCACCTCCTGTGGTCCCGGTGTCTAGGCCTCTCCTGACTAGGGCTGCAGGTTTATCGAGACTTTTTCCCGCGCACGCAGTTTCCATTGCTACCATTTTTTATTTTTTTTGGGGGTAGAAGGTTCCGTGGAAAAGGTGGCTGAATTTCACGGGTAAATACTGAGCTGAATAGCTATTCATCACGGGGAATATATCAATGATCTTTCGAATAACATGAGAGGCAAGGAGCACTGTACAAGGTGTGGCCTGGGTCAGAGAGAAGCCCAATGTGCTAGACAGTCATAGACTCAAGTAGTACAAAAAATACACCTCTCTCTATGTAGACTGAGCTAACCGGCATTTGACCCTCTTAGTCTAGTGTTACACGCAGACAATTCGTTACAACAGAAAAGTATATATCATAGAATTTAGGATTGACTTATTTGCTACGACTGTTTTTGTTTGATTAGCTTGAGTTTTCCTAAGTTTTTCAAAGAGTTCAGGGCAAGTTTGCTACAACTGTATCAATATGCTACCCCAGAAATTAGAGTAATTTTGGGCGTGGACATTGTAGAGATAAAAAATTAGTAAGTATCAAAGCCTGGTTTCACCATTAAACACACTTTTGATTAGATTCCATTATCCTAATTTGGAGCCCTGAGCCCATGCGGGTGTCTTTAAGAACAAATATTTTTCCACGACCTTCAAATTATATGATATTTACAACACTGCAGAAAAACTTTCTATCAGATTGTATACAATCGTAGTAATAATTTGAAACAAATTTCACGTCGCCATATAGACCTGTAGTTCCCAGCCAAAAAAACTTTATCAAAATCTTAAGTTAATACAAAATCTTTTTCTTATATTCAGAAACGCCTTTATTGGTATCATTACTTCGCGACTGAGCCCAGTACCTCCCCATGTAAAAATGCCGCAAAGATTGAAGGTTTCCCGTCTAAAAACACGTATCGCCTTGAAGTATCAAGCAAACTGGGTGTCACTCGCAGCAGATCATTTTTCATTAAATTAGAGAAAGCTATTACACCTTTTGATATCCAGAAGATGTGTATATTTTTATAAAATCGGAGGATTTGAATAATCAGAATGTTTGACTAGCAAATAAATAATTCGTGTAGAGTTTTTTTGAAGATGAAATTTATGGATGAGATTTAAGCTAAGAAGCTATGATGACTTGGTATTAGGGATTCCAATTCAAGTTAGATGGAAGAAAATATCGTTGCTTGACAAGATTTCTGTGACTTAAGGAGGTTAAATTACTGAATCGGCTTTACTTAGCCTTGGATTAGCTTTCTATAATTTGCTATCTCTTCATCGCTTAAAGCCGCTATCCATATACATCTCTCGATGACACCTTCGATGGGTGAAAATTCATATCGTTGGCTTGCTTCAATAAGCCGTAGTAGGGTTTTGATGATCATGGCGTCTGTGCGGCATCTCTCAAAATTCACCAAGGGTTCCATTGTTGACGAATTCTCCATGAAGATGGGATTTTGATGATTCAAAGCCAATTCTTCGATGTAAATCCCAAGAAAGGGAATACAGCCCTGATCGACGCTAGCACCTTCCATTTCAGCGCGAAGATTATGAAAATTTTGAGAAGGTAATATAAGGGTCTTGAGTTCCTCAAGGATCCGAATATCGGGAGATGAAATATGTGACCATGTATGTGTGAGCTCGGTAAGGTCTCGGCTGATCAAAGCTGTTGTTATTTGCGTCATTGTTGCAAAATTTCGTCGTTTCCTACAGATTTCTGCAATATGAATCAATTTAACCAAACAGTCTACGCGCTTATTTAGATTCTGAATTAGAATACATTCAGAAATTGCCCATTTCACCATAAGATTGAATCGTGTCATAATAATCTCAATCCCTTGTGGAGAACTCTTCGACCTAAGAAATTTAACCCAAGATCTTATTTCACTTGGAGGATTCCCGCATTGAATTTCTATAAGATCTTTCCAGTCTATCTCATTGAGTGCATCTTTTTCAACAAGTGTAAACTGCTGTGCCAAAATTTCCGAGTCATGAGCAAGGATAAATGGCATGTGTGGTGGCATTTTTCTGTATGACTCAGTTATACGATGCGACCTGAGTGGATTTATTGGATGTTTTGAGGGCCTAATCTCTGTTTCTTTGTCGAATGAAATAGCAGGACTGTCCTCAGGAACCATGGACTCGTGAATTTTTAGCCCGGAATGAAAATAAGAAGCTTCCGGAGAAATTTCTAGAGCTTGTGGCATTTTTATTGATGACGAGAGAGGTTCGAAAAGAGGGTGCGCGTACTCTTTGGGTTTAATACAATTTTCTGTAGGGGAGAACAAACTTTCGGTAGTGGACTTCAAATCAAAGTTATTATATTCATTTGGGGATGGGTTTTCCCAAAATTTTAGAGAGATTAAATCTTTATCATCAGTGTGAGCCCAAGATAGTGAATCAATAGTGCTTGCCTTGGATTGATGTTCATCAACCTCATCGGACTCGAGTGCCGAGTCTGAAGTATTACCATGCGAGAGCTCTGGTGTGTGGAGTATGTTACTGGTGATTTGTTCATGTCGTTCTAGACCAAATGCCTCACGCGAGCCATAATCTGAGAGGTGGTCATAGCAGCTTGTATCCTTTTCTGGCCTGGAATATAAGCTTCGGGATTCTATAGACCGAGTATATTTTTCAACATGTGAGAGACAGGGGGACGAGGCATCAAAGCCTTGGCGTAATTTATCCATATCCGGAATAAATTGTGGATGGTCTGAGGTAGATATGAATTTTTTCGAATCAGTTTTCAAATCTGGGATTGATTTAATTTCTCTTCCCCCTTCTTCCTTGGCCGGCAATGGTGAAAAAGTACTGAGCGTGTTCAGATGCGTATCACGACGGGTGTAAACCGAATTTTTGTTTCTAGCACCCTCATGCTTACGTTTTTGAAACCTTCCTTCTAACTTTAGCAGAGTAGATTCTATACCTCCGTCGTCGTCATCATCGTCCGGTATCTGCGCGAGAATATAAGCTCCATTTTCCATCGACTCCGGCGCAGCAAATGTTGAATTGATGACCTCTTGGTGCGACCCAGCTAGTTGTCCTAGCGAGACATTCCGGCCGGGGTTTTCTACTCCATCGTCATACTGGCTGTTACTTGGATGCAATGAGTAAAGGCTTTTCGAGACTTCAGAAGCCCATGAGTCTGTAGAGCTGGCTGCATCACGAAGATTTGTTCCGGGCGCCTCCAAATTGTTTATTGAACGTAGATTACACCCAGGTCGTCTTCGAAGAGGTCTGAGGAGTGAAGGAATAGAGGTCAGGTCTAAAATTTGCTCGTGATCTCCAAATTCAGATCCCGAGATAGTTGTAGCATCAAAGCTTCGCTCATGCGTCCATCTTGTATGATTACTTTGAAATGATGTCAGTTGCTTACGAGATTTTGCAGAGTTTGTTGTAGGTGTTTCCAGAGCTTGACTAACACTAATAGCCCTCATTGATTGGTCAGAAGTCTTTTGATCTTCCCGAAGATCTGAATCATTATAATGAGATAAATTATTCTCTACAGAGAGAGTTTGATCCCAGGCAGATCGATCGAATATATTCTGAAAATTTGGAGTTGTGATACCCATAAATGAACTTGGAGATTGATTGGGAGGTGTGACGGGTGGTGTAGGTCCACATGAAGGCTGCAAACGAGTATTCGGGCGTGTCTTCAGCGTGGGGCTGTCAAGAGATTCTGCTGTTACTAACGGAATTGGTGGAAGAAATTTGTTTGTAGAGGGAGATGAGAGTGTCTCGTTAGAGTTCTCGATGAAATTTTCAACGCTGCCAATTGCGAGAAGAGACGATTGCGAGCCAATAAATGATTTGAATATTGTGTCTTGAGGACCCGATTCTTTGGCAGTGTGCTGGGTAAGCTTCAACTCTTGATATATTTTATCACTGTTTCTCGTCTCAGAGCCTTCTTCCAGGGCTTCTTTGAAGTCTTTAGCTACCTCTACTCCTAGAAAATCTATACGCATCGACATATCGCTGGGAACGTTTCGAGTGTGACTCTTTAAGCTTTCAGATAAGTCAGGGGCTCCATTTATGTTGGAACTTCGATTGACGTGCGGAGAGACGTGAGGGAGACATCCCTGGATATGCTGCGAGCTAGCAACCTGACCGGCTCTATCTCTGAGAGCTCGTCGCATATTTCCGAGTAATCTTTTCATACCGGGTCCCGAAATTGCAGATGCACTCCTATGGTTAACTCTAGCACCATGAGGAATCATGATTTCTTTTATACTTCCTGTCGGTGTTAGAGAAGTTTTCACGTCTACAAATGGCTGGCCAGGAGGGAATAAGTTGGCCCTTAAAATAGCACTAGCAGGTGGGAATGTTGTGAGGAGCTCGGTACTATGGTGCCTTATTTTGCGAGGTGGGAATATTGAGAGACTACAGCCCCTATAGGAATCGGAAAATCTAGCATTCTGCTTAAAGTTCCAGGCGCGCAGCTCATTGTTTTTTCTGTGAGAAGGATTATTATTAGGCTCATGGTTTGGTTTATAAGGCGTGGGGTAAGAGCTAAAATGATTTAAACTTTCCGAATCCAGATAATCTGTATTGAAATGGGCTTCATCGTCGCTGATCAGGATTTTAGGTAAATTCGGTTTCTCTTCACTTCGCAAGTTGAGTTTTTCGGAATGATGTGACAAAAACTGAAATTCTTCACCGTTTAATTGTGGTGATTCAAATTGAGAATTTTCATTTAATATTCTTATCTCCTGGGAGATCGGTTCCGATTCGTCGATTGCATTTTTGCTGTGGCAGCTTGTCCAGATTTTTGGTCCAATCTTTGGTATACTGGGATCAAAATATTCGCCTGGAAATATAGGAGCCAAGGGGCCCATCTCCACAAAAGAATCGGCACTGTCCCAGAACGTGGCGCATACTATCCTCCAACACTTTTTAAGCTCTCCGGTTATTTGAAAGGGAATTTGAGATTGCTGGGGATTTTGTTTGATCTGGTCAACAAAATCATTTAGTAGTTCACAAAATAGCTTACGTAACTCTAAATCCATCAGAAAGTCGTCAACAAAATAATTTAGGAGCCAATGTCTCAATGCAACAAAAGTTCTAACCCTGACGATAGTCCCAGTGGAATCTTTTTTAAGCAGAGCCCATTTAAGACGCGCAATTAGCATTTTTAACAACTGTGAGGTTCCTAAAAAAGAGCGAAAGGTTAGAAAAAAATCCGATAATAGATTGTAATCGACAAAACTGGGTGAAGTGATTTCCGCTATTAGACGAGCAGGAGTTGCAGCTGAGATTTGTCGGGCTGCTGTGTATTGGACGACAGTTGGGTGTTCACAGAGAGGTCTAAGCATCAGCTTATCAAACATTTCAGGAACTATACTAAAGCCTCGTGATATAACTTCCTGCTGCAGTGATGCATTATCAAGCTGGTCCAAGTCCACAAAGTTGGAGAAGTCGGGTAGCGCATAAGTCTCAGACTCTCGTTTCGAAGAGAAATGACACAATGTAGATGAGCTGACATCAGCCAAGCTTTCTGTATTTTCTGAAGAAATTTTGCTTGGGATAGAGCTGTCAGGTTGTTGAGGGTCAGAACAATCGATAGGATCGAAACCAAGGCTATATGATGGTATGGATACCTGCAGAGTGGGGGACTGTACTGAGTTTGTTTTGTTAGAGTGCTTGTGAGTGCTTTTTTTATCAGATTTCCCTGTATATTTATTGGGCTCATCTGATTCCAATGCATATTTGCCAGGGATAGAAAGAGATAGTGACGGTATTTCTGTGCGTGTATTTGTGAATTTTGAGTCTCTTGAAATGTTGTGAAGGTCGGAACTTGGAATGGATTTTGCTGAATTATCATTTTGAGACTTGTTGAGATGAGTGAATGGTGTAGGAGTATTGTCATCAGCTATTTTAGGTGAAAAGAGAGTGAAATTTGAAGATAATGATAATGATTCTCTCACAGGAAGAATTTTAGGACTATGGAATCCATTAGTTTGATTTAGGTTGACTCGAATAATCGATTTCGAGTTTCAAGGGAAATTCTCTTACCGCAAGTATATCTTGCCATTATTCCCAACCTTAGATACTGTAAATGGTCGACCCCTTAATCCCACAAATCCACTTTGAAGGGTTCTTTCCAACATAGAATGCCTCGCTCCATCAATATTTTGGAGGCTCAAGGTACTTTTCGATCGCGAGAGATGCTTCTGGTTGTGTTTTATTCCGGTGTTCTCCAAAAGCTTGTCCTGGCCAAACTTTGGTGTTACGGTAGATGTAGATGCCATCTCTACCTGGTATGAATCGATGGTAGTTTGAGTGGACTGAAACTCCTGAATGGATTTCACATATTGAGATAATTGCGATTTACGCTGTTGGTGACGGAGTAGATTGTCGTGCGAGTCGTCGGTTGATAATGCCAGGTGTACAGGCGGTTTTATTGCCATCTTCATAAGCGCAGGAACTCAATTCTCATTATTTACCCTCCTCTAGAATTCCGGCTTCAGATCCATGAGACTAGGATGGTGGTAAATAGCAACAGTCTCGGCATAGAGGTAAGACAGATGTTGGACAGGGATACTATTGCCATATGAGATGAAGACGGCCTGATTACAGCTAGAACAGCTTGCGGATGGGGCACAAAAGGCATTAAGCCTATGAAGAAACGGGGCTTCTTTTCCTTGACCAAATCTACGCGTGCTAGGGGGATCACCCACTCCACACCCAGCCTGACGCGTGAATAAAAATTAGTCCCCTCTGATGTAAAGACAAAATTAGATTGGGAGCTCGTATCGTTTAAGGGAAGAGTGGAAGACGACAGAGGGTGACATTGCTGTATTACGGGTGTCCTGGAAGCCTGTAAGCCCTGGTAAGAAATTGCCGAGAAGAAAACAGACAATCGAATGCTTTCCCGGATCGTCGATCATCCTGGTGCACTCATAGACTCCAGCACCGTCCTCTTACTTCCCCCCACAAATATCCTGGAATGTGATCTGAAAGGCCCTGTCAGTAGCGATCTATTGTCTCGAATGCGGCTGATCTTCAGCTGTATCACGCTCCTTCATGGGTCAACTTTCTAGAGGAAGATTTAATTCACCTCCCCCCTTCGCATTAACCGTCAGATTAAAGATGTCAAATAATGACTGCCTTCCGACACTGAGTTGACTAGGAAGACTGTTCGGCCAACACCTTGCTCCAAATTTAGACATATCCGAAAATTTTTCTCAGTGCGATGCCTGGTGACATTATTATTCCCAGTAACACTCGCGACATGTACTCAAGATAACGTTAAGCTAGTTGGTTTTCCCTCAGCACTCCACCCTGCATAAATCAAGGCCGCACAAGTTTTTTGATTACCTGCACTTTTACCGTACCATTGTTGTATTGATAGCACCTCATTGTACCCCATTATTAACTTGGTAACTGCTCACAAGACTGTTGGAACTGTTTCCAAGTAGCAAAAGTCTGTTGCTATTGTATAAGGGCGGATTACAACTCTGATAATCATTGCTTTATCGGGTCAATTTTTTTACGAGATCATGAAAGTAACGATGGTTATATATTTAATTCATATATCAATTAACCAAGGATAAGCGATAAAAAGTAGATTGAATCCGAAAAATAATTAAATACAAATATCCAATATTGTTACTCGATATACGCGCTATGGCTATGTTCGCCAAGACTACTCAAAATGGTGCTGGGTCCTTTGCAGCTCCATCGGCTGAAGATACGGCCCTGACCAACCTGGAATGTGACAATACCCATGTCCTTGGCTCTTAGAGTCACCACTAAAGCTTGGTTTTGAGGACATCCTGTGCTGAGTAGAGTGGATTTTCAAATTACCATGCCGCTCTTATTGATTTTTTATCAGCGAGACTCATCGTTAAAATGATAGCTTGACTATGAGGTGATGCAATTCATAGCTTAGATGTTGAGCAACACACACATTGCCGTCTCATCTCCACATCGAGTGTGGGTGCCAGGTAATGCCAGCGATTGCATATATTATATGCCAACAAATCACTAGAGATAAGCTTTATTCTAGTTCTCCTCCCGCAACTATGCCCGATTAAGAATAATAGCACACCAAACTTATGCATATGACTTGGTCTGACACTCACAGTCACATCTTGACCAGCTACATTGCTGACTAATACTGGCCTTACATTAGAGCTAGCTACGCCAAGTATTTTTCTCTTGAGGACCTCTCCTCGTGGCGCACAATCTGATTGAGGCTATCAGTGCGGAACCACTCGGGAGATGAGAAGTTAGATAGGTTCACTCCAAAATATGGTGATGTGGGGATATTGAAAGTAGTTTTCAATACTAGAGCAGATTGTGTGCGCCCAGTTATTAACTTCAGAGGTTGATGTAACTCTTCCAAGAGTGCGAAAAATAACGTTTTGGTTTTCTCTTAAATTCAATATACCCAAGTAGGATTGACCCTCTCTGCGTGTGAAAGAAAAAAGGTTGAAGTAATTAGGGTTGAGCTTATTAATTAAAACCTGCCTCTTTCATATAAATTTTAGAAGTCCTGCGTACTCATAGATTCAGCAAGACGATAATATAATCGAATCTATCAAAGAAATAATGACCTCTCAGTCATTGAGGCTGCAGAGCGCATTAATTCAAGTAACTACCGAGGTAAAACCAGGTACAGGATTTGTAGTCACGTGTGTGTCATAAACATGGTCTACTTGATAGCCCAAATTATTCTCACTTCTAGTGCCATAGCTGAAGCCCGGTAGACCTTTACAAATAAATATTCTAGCTTCCAACAGAATCCAATCTAACACACCCGAGTAGAGTCTGAGTGCGGTATAAAACTGCCATAAATCTGCGAAGAACGTTAGTAGGATGATGCTTATCAATGTCGCTGTGGGTGAGATAATACCAACATCCCAAGACATTTGGAATGTTACTGGCGTTTTCCTAGAAGTATATTCGTAGTGAGATGATAAATGGAAGTACAATGTTCCTGTCTGAATGTGGGGATCTTTGGCAGTTCCGACAATAGCTGATACGTAAAGCAAGTGACCGGATATTCGCATGGACTATCTAGAGAATATCAAATAGTGTAGACCATACATCTTAGAATGCTAGAGCACAATGCAAGATATCTATGATAACCCATACGTCGCAACTGATATCACATACCTGTGATACCAATTTTTTTTACTTAATATTGATAAATATTTAGTTAGCAACACAATGTCAACTCATGATCGGTGTCGAATGTACACGATACGCGCCTCTTTAATTATTATTCTTCCTCAGGCCTGGAATCTATAAGATATGTAAGTTATTTATGCCTACAGACCAAGGATAAGTTTATTTCTGGTGGTTCACCTTCAAATAGCAATGGGTGTTGGGCTTTCTTAACGCCGTCGTCAGGACTGAATGTAATGACATAGCTACCCCTTTGAAGCTTTCGAAGGGACCGGCGAGCCAGTCGCTGTAGACCTGTATGTACACAAAAAAGCCACTCTCTACCTTTCCAGCCCCCATCTAATTCCTTCCCACTATTTAACCTCGGAATAAATGGGTGACAGCATTAAACTCCAGAAAAGTCTTGACAGAGTCGGCTGTGAACTAGCCGGGCTAAAATATTTTTGTGCCGTATTGGATAGCGCAGAATGCCAGAGATTTATTAAAGATTAAAGTCCTCATGGCTAGAATAGGGCTCAATCACTGCTTTCCAGACTCCACGATTAAAGCCAAAGGTTTGCAAGGGAGACCGCTGACAAGTGTGGAGTTTTCGTGCCCCACAAATGACTCCTTTGGCATTAGCGACGATCATGCTCTGCATTTCATCTGGCATCACAGCTTTGAGGTCCGCTTGCTTCAGTTGCAGTGTCATAACTCGTCTATAAGTCTTCACCAGATAGAGATTCAAACTCATCACTTATTCTAGCAAATCTTCATTTTCTGCTCTTTTTTTTTACAACTTGCTGCTCACAAGCACGCGATAAATCTTGTTAGGTCCTACTTGGGCAAAGCAGAGGTTGGAGGAGAGAGAGGTGTATTTTTTGTTCTACTTGAGTCTATGACTGTCTAGCACATTGGGCTTCTCTCTGACCCAGGCCACACCTTGTACAGTGCTCCTTGCCTCTCATGTTATTCGAAAGATCATTGATATATTCCCCGTCATGAATAGCCATTCAGCTCAGTATTTACCCGTGAAATTCAGCCACCTTTTCCACGGAACCTTCTACCCCCAAAAAAATAAAAATGGTAGCAATGGAAACTGCGTGCGCGGGAAAAAGTCTCGATAAACCTGCAGCCCTAGTCAGGAGAGGCCTAGACACCGGGACCACAGGAGGTGCGCATATTCGTCTATATTTCCCTTCTTTGTAACAGTCGAGGTCGACTTGATCCAACCCACCATCCCGGTATCGGGTGCTGGGTATGCTCCAGAATCTCATCTAGCAGCTTTTCTTCCAGGATCAATGGTTGGTGATGAGAAGAGTTCTGACCCTAATATCTGATCTGATCGTGGTTAGCTTCATGATAATGATGATAGGGGATGTGTTGAGAGATGAAGACGATACAGACCGCGAAAGCGATTGGGAATCCTCTTCGAAGTGAGGACTCTGGTACTCAATCTCCGCTCTGCGGATTCTATAGTGAGAGCTGAAGGTTCTCTTTTAGCATTAGATTTTAAGTGATATCCAGCTATCTAGTTGTGACAATATGTTGGAGAAAATGTGCAGGATAGATGACACAAGATACAAATAGAACAATTATACCACAGATATCATTTGCAAGTACCACTGCGAAGTTATGGCTGCCTTCTCTTCAACCCAAATTGTTAGAAATCTAGACTCAGTATGTATGAAGGTTTAGATTTCTAGGTATGATCATCAAGATCAGTTAGATTAATTCGATTGCATATGGTTAAGGTTAGATGGGCGATATGAAGTCCAGTAATATCTAAAATGCACTAGCTGGGAAATGCTGCTGTACGATAATTGATTGGCTGATTGTTGCCAGATCACTGGGAGTTCGGGGTTACTAAAGCCTTTTTTTTAAATCATCCAATGTTTATGCAGCTATAAAGTTATGACACATGACAGGTGATATAAAAACATATTGGATGACTCTTTTGACGTTAGAGACACTCTTACTCTGGATTTCATTCGCAAATACCACTATGAGGTATGCTCGCTTACACAAACAGTCAACCCTCCTCCGTAAGTACCCACCAGAGGGACGTTTCAAACCATTTGCTTCTCCAAGCATACCTTCGTCATCCATGCATACCAGCGCCGCGAGATATGTGATTGTATTTTTCCGGATTTGAACCGAAAATCTACTATCTCGAGTGGGATATGTGTCCAAGCTATCGAGACTTTACTTGGTAAACCGGCCAGGACGATGTACCACCGCACCATCCAACCACAGTAGTGTCTATAGTGTCGCCTGCACTCTCGCAACCGAAGTCTTAGCA